TAAAAGAATGTCTAATAACCGCTTGTTTATTAAGCAATAGTTTGTAATAGTTTGGAACAATTGTTACGAATTATCACGGCTTGGCGGTTTAATACGAAAAAACTGCAAAAAAATTTATAAAAAAGGGATAAATTTAGAGAGAAAAATAACATAAAGTTTCTACAGGATAAAGAATACAATTTTCCAGGAAGAAATATACATATATATCTGTGGACATTTTAAAGAACAACTTAAGCCTATAGTTTACGGACAAACAAAATAGCAAATGTCGAATGTTTTCTTTTAAATAAAATATACTATGCTGCAGTGGGAAGACAAAGCATTTTTGTACGTACGAGCTTCAGAAAGTCCAGATTCGCGGGGATTACAAGGAGCTGCTTCAGCTAGCATTTGCTTTTCTAGGTGGGGATTTTCGAACATGCGGTCCAACATCCCATCTTATTTTATCAACTTTTTTGCTAATAATAATAATAATTTGTAACAATTGTTAAAAAATATTTAAAACTATTGCTTAATGAAACAAACCTATTGTCAGCTGTTTTTCTAATTGCGATGTGCATAACATGCCACTGGAAATGATATTTTAATTTATTTTACAATCAAATGTGCTGTACAGTATCGATACGTTGCTTGAATCCAATGTCATTTACTAAATTTGCTATAACTTTTCTATTTTCAAATCGATTTGCAAAAAATTTGGATCTATATACTTTGAAATCAAATAAGCTTTAACATAGCATAAAAATAAGAACAAAAAGTTTGCAGCTTTTAGGTGTAATTCACAGTAGAATAACGATGCGACTTAAAATTGAGTCCGATTTCACTAATAAATTGGCAGATAACTCTTAAACTGATAATTTGATTGCAAAACATTGTATAGCAGGTTCGTAGGGATTTCAAAGACCTTTAATCTGGTGGAGATCTTTTTGCGGTGTGATAATCACAACCGGATATTTTTGGAAAAAATTGAACATGCTGTTTTCTCAATTTGGAAAAAAGCGATAATTTCGCAAATTCTTAAAACCTATTCTACTGTTTTAATTTTTGACCTCATATTCAGATTGTGTATGTTATTTTACATGGCAAATGACTACAAATTTCTCGACTTTCAACTATTTTGTTAAAAAAAATTTTCCCAGAATGCATATGGTTTTCTAAATTTTCAAATGCAACGCGCAAGTACTTAGAGTTATCATATTCGAATAAAATTTTGCGCAGCTTATTTTTAGACCAAAACACATCTTTTTCCACCCGGCAAACCAAATTTTACATATATGTATATGATTGCGTACTTTACGGGAAATTCGGTTTGGCTTTTGCCAATCCATAGTGTTGCTGCCAAGCGAAAAATGGAAGCCAGTATTGCAATTCACTAACTCTTAACGATACGATTTGTCGAGGTCTCAGATAACGATTTTTGTGGTTTGCAGTAACAATTGTGTTATTCGGTAACTCTTTTTTAGCGACACCAAACAGCTGACATTTTCTTTTTATTTAAATGAAAGAAAGGTGGCATCACATCTTAACGAAACGTAAAAAAAAATGCGAAAAGCACAAACAAGAATGACGAAAAACAAATAAATTCCTTGCTTGCAAAGTGATATACACATAGTTTTCTGGATATTTTAATATATTTTTTACAGAAAGTAAGTAAAATAAAACGTTTATTTATTTTGTATTATTAGACATAACCATTTTCGCATATTATAGAATGGCTTCGTCCAAAGAGAAGCCGGACCACAGCGGAACAACTAAGTCGCATGGTGGATTTTTTGACGGAAACGCTGGGATTGGCAGGATCAAGGTTCCAGAAGCTTCATGGCAAATCGGCCTGCGACAAGAAGTGGAGCGAACTAGCGTCAATGCTGAATAGCCTTAGTGGTTCGGTGAAGAACGTCGTCCAATGGCGCACAGTACTTAAAAATTGTTTAGTAATGGGCAGAGGTGGGCACTACCACAAACAAGCGTTCGCTAAAAGTGAGAATGTGTTAGTGTGCCTAATTCAATTTGCATGCTGCCGCGTTCTCCTCGTTACGCTCTTGCTTGTATACGTAAACGCGATGGTTATGCTCTTTGAGCGTGTGCTCGTTCTCTGCCCATGCCTGGTAATGGGTGAAAATTTCTCAACTGGACCTCGGATTTCAGTCCAGATCGAATTTTCGCGTCAAAATTTGTGAGTAGAGGGGTTTATAGATGTGAACGGGATTCTGAGAATCTTTTAGAAAAATTTTAATTTTTTAAGTTTTTATAAGCAATCTTTATTTGCAAAACTCATTTTCTCTTAAAGTATTTGACGAAAGTTGATGAAATTTTTTTTTGTAAGCGTAGTGACATTAGAGCTTAAAAAGAAAAATATTTTTATAATTAAGAAACCAATTTTTTTTTAATTTAAACATTATAAATATTCAAGTTGCATTAAAAATATGTTCTCAATCAGTGTTTTCCATTTCGTTTATATTTTCAAAAACTGCATTTATTGAAGAGCAACATTTGTCACAGCGCGCACGCATCGTGAGCATGCGCGCTCACCGCCTATGCGCGAAACGTGTTCAACAGAAAGCGCGAACAGGAGCAACTAACAATTGGCTCATATTTCCAACTTTTAACGTAACCTTACATAATAATGATGGCATTTATGGTATTTTAAAGGCATTTTTAGGTTAAGCTTTGTATCGGGGATATGTGTTAAAATAATCCCATTAATTCCATTTTTTTTGGAGTTCACGCACAACATTCCCTGCAGTATGGGGGAGCGACTACAGGACTGCTGAATCGGTAGCTACCTGATAAACCGGGTCAATTACCGACCGACTACTTGCAGTGTATTTCAAATATTACTTTTACAAGGCAATGTCCTAGGCGGTAGTCACCATCGGCTCTCTCTGCAATACCGGGAGTTACTAAAGCAGTCACTTGCGTGATTTATGGGCGCCCTCTGTCGTAGTTTTTCGCGGGTTCGACTCTGCACAACCATGTGCACTACCAGGGGTTAATAGAGTAGCTACTTACCGAGGAGTAGGTGCAGTAGCGGTTCAAAAGTAGTGATTGGCTCCAGCAGTACTGGAGGGTTATTACCAGGGAACGGATTTTTAGGACCTAAAACCTAGGCAGGAAAAGGCACTAGAAGGCAAAATAAGGCACTAAATAAAGACAAACACCGAAAAATAGTCAAAAAATACATGTATTTTAGAAATGTTTATTTTACAAGTAGAAAGAGAAAAACTATGAACTCCATAGTTTCATTATATCAAAAATTTGTACTTTGAATCTTTGACTATTTTCTCCATTTGAGGTTTTAACTCGCAAAACTTTAATCTCTATAGCTGTAGTAACATTGAACCACAAGATGTATTTTGAAGTTTTCTGGCAGCATTTTTATTAGATTTTCGCGAATAAAAGCCTTAAATGTACTAAACGTGCGCTCGACGTGAGTTGATACAAGTGGCGCCCAATTTAAATGTGGAACGTTTAAAACTTTCATATTATCAGAAATAAGGGCTTTTTCCTTGCCCTTTACAATTAAAGTTAATAAAGGCGAATATCTTAAAAAAGGCAAAAAAAGGCAAATCCAGATATGTATATATGGAATCAGGGAAAGCTAAATCGTGGTCATTCTTAGTCGAATATACTCTATCTCTTTAGCAGAAAAAAAGGCAATTTCCATAAAATCCATTCCCTGATTATTACCAACATATGGGCGAAATTTCAGAGTTATATATGCATCGGTACACTTTTTATTGCATTTTTAAGACGTTTATGAGGTTAGGTTTATATAAGAGCAGTGTTACCAACTTAGGGAATTTCCCCCTAAATTTAGGGGGAAATTTTGTAAACAGGGGATGTTTTGGGGTGACATTTTTTTTAGGGTAATCTTTAGGGAGAAAAATTGCATGCTTACTATTGGTTGGTTGAATTTAATTTCCTAAGTGATGAGTTTTTGTTACGGCAAATAAAAACCCATCTTTTTTGCGTAATTGTATAAAAAAAATGATTGCTTACCGATTTATCGAGCTACTTACAGCTCATAAAAATATATGGATATTCGATATGGCAACGTTTATCTTCCAATTAATCGATTACGATGTTGCCTTTCTAGTATTTAAAATTGATGGTAACGGCAGAAAATGTCGAAAGCATACAAAGTTTCTACCGGCTATTGCCAAAAATATACAAAAAAGTGGGAAAGTGAAGATGAACTTAAAGGTTTTTAATATACATATGTATACCTTTTCATTTATATAAAATTATTATTATTATTAACAGCTTGGATCGCACCTGATCCCGCTGGACGATCGGATTCGGCGTTCTGTAAATATTGTCGCACAACACTATCAGCTCATAAAAAGGGTTTGGTTCAACATTCTAGAAGCAAGAAACACGAGAATGCGGTACTAAAAGACAAATCAGCTCTTCAAAGTAAAAAGTTGGATTCCACTTTTAAACCCACAGTGACTGATAATATAAAAATTGCTGAATTAAAAATAGCTGCATTTATAAATGGATTTTTCTATGCGCTAATCAAATGTGTTTTTTAGGGGATTTTTGTTGATTTTAGGCTAATTTTAGGGGGTTTTGAAAAATATTTGGGGGGAAACTTTCTGAGAGGTTGGTAACACTGTATAAGAGGTATGTTTTTTTCTTGATTTGTCTCCATAAATGTTGCACACGGAACATTGAGGTTATACGCCGACTCCTTCTATTTTTCCAAAAAATGTATGGGGCTGTACGACTGTGCGACGTTGAACACTTGAACAATCACAATAAAAAAATTATTAGACATAAAATTTACATACATACATGGTTGACTGATGGCATACATAATAACCATAACCATAATATATAAAATATATGTAAATATTGTGTAAATATGTAGTTTTTGAAGTAATTTTTTGTTTTAATATTTTGTTACTGTTCGCCGCCCAAAATATAAATACTTTATTCTTCGGCGTATAGCGCACCCGGTAGCGTGCCATAAATTTCACCATCTAATAATTTTTCTAGAGCGTACGGCAACACCAAAACTGCATGGAAGGTCTGAAATTTTGCGACAGCTGTGTTCCTTTCGGACAGTGTCGCTGATTGTCACTGGTTTCTGCAGGTCTGTTTTCCTACTTTTTTTCGGTTAATAAACGCTTTCCCGCGGAGGCTGGTGATAGTTTGTGACAGCTGTCTGTAACTGCCCGTCTTCACAGGATTGAGTTTATATCTTGACACAAAGGTTAGAATATAGAGAGCAATATATATCAGCGTTGTATTTTGGCATCTATTGCGGTGACTTGGTAGTTTGACAGCTACGTTTNCTACATAAAATAATTGCCGTTTTCGTTGTTCCGCGAGATGAGCAAAATAAATAATAGCTTGTAAAATTAGGGTAAGTGTAGAGCCAGTGCAGGTAAACGTAATACTTTCTTTGATAATTGATAAAAGTTGCAAATTTTTAAGGCAGGTATCGCTAATGTGCAGGTATGTTGAATGCATCTATCGGAGCAGTTTCCTTATAAATGTTAAAAATAATGCCGCTGNCCGCATGGTGTAGGAATAAATTGAGTTTTGCTTTGCCAACCGCAAAGAAAAACTTTGACAGTTGGGGAAAAACCACACAAACGCTTAATTTTGTGTGTTGCTGAAATTGTTAAATTTACATATATTTTATAACTTGNCATATATAGCATCACGCTATAAGATTTACTTATAAAAACGGTATATGCTAATGGCCTTATTCATAAAAAATAAAGAAAGATTCCAAGAGCTATATAAAGTATTTTGATNGTTTTCGGAAAAAAATGAAACTCATGATAAGGCTCATTACACCTAGAAGCTGTCAAATTTTACCTAGCTCATCCACCACGAAACTGTCAAATTTATAAACTAGCAATTTTCAAAGATTTTTTTTTACGGTTAAGTCCGGTAAAAATACTTACAAAGGAGTCACGGCAACCCCGGATTTTTTTTTGATATTCCTCCTTGCACNGCGAACAATCTGAAATTCAATCGCTTTTGTCAAATCCATTTTGGGTGTAATATTTTAACATANACAGATTCCATTTGGAAGAGTAGCGTAACTAGTCCAAATGACGCAGTGTCCGTAATTCTTCCAAATGGAATATTCCCGCAGTGCAAGTGTATAAAAACCCGATAGCAACCCCCGTAGTCGGCCATTTATATGTCATTAGGTTGAGCAAAATATATCGAAGCTTCTATTTTCGGATGTACAAGTGTTCATTAAATCATGAAATGTGTTTAAAGTGTGAAAACTATGTTTAAGCATGGAATTCTATGCCCCTTTTTGCCTATTCTCTTTCTAACAGCGGACGTGCCTGCCAAACTAAAAAGCATGATGGNCTATCCTTTTTCTTTAGTAGCGTATATTTATCAAAGTATTTCTTAGTTTAAAAATTCATCTCTTGCATAAATGAAAAAGAAGACGAGATGAAATGAAGCATATACTACTTTTTCATGTCAAGGACGAATAAATTTTCCAAAGGGCTAAAAAGGGGCTAAGGGCAATTTTAAATTTATGTGGCCCAAAAACGAATCGGGTAGCTAAATCTAGCCACCAAGCGGCTAAAATGACGACGCACATGGGGGCCAAAATAGATGTAAAACGCCCGTTTACCACGTAATGGTAGTTTTGCGCAGGGTAATTAATGTTCGGCTCCGCGCGAACTTAGACTTTTTTACTTGTTTATTTCTAAAATAATGGGCCGTATGCAGAGATGCTCAACAAACTNTAAAACCTTTTTTAATGTGGTTGCGTTAACTCATATACGCTTTTTTTATTTAGTTGACAAACTGCATATTTCGCCAGTAAAAATTCATATACAGTATATTTTGCTTAGCTGCCCATCCTTCTTTGCACGAAAAACTTGCGCGCTTAACCGAAAAAAGCACTTAAGCGAATTTTCTTTACTACTTCAATGAGGAAGGTATCCGAATCCCTATGAAACCAAATAATGGAGGAGCACTTACCACGTAGAAATTACTGCAGGAGAAATTTTTTCCGAATGGTATCNCAAAAATAACTTCTTACGTTTCAGAGCTAAATTAACGAAACAAAACTCAATCGTTAACGTTGAAACGAAATAAATTATCAATCGGTAACATTGAAACAAAATAAATCAACGGAAAGTTATTGTTGTATGCCGTTGCGAGCTTACTGTTAACACCTAGCACCTATATGCATTACAGCTTCAGCATTAATTAATAAAAGCAAAATAGAGCGTAAAATTGACAAGAAGAGAAAACTAGCAGAAAAAGTTACTGAACGCAAAACTAGTAAAAACTTGCAAGTGAATAGTTGTTGCACCCTTTTGATATTCTGCTGTAAACATTTTACTATTTATAAATCAGTTTTAAAATCTTTGCTTTTCACACAAGCAGTTACACAGTCTAGTACATCATTAACATTTTGATTTCCACTCGTTTTACTTTTGTTTGTGCTAAACCAATTCAACAAATGGCGGCTTTTGACATTTATTCTTCTTCTGCTAGCTAATTTCTGCTAGTAAAAATTTCACTAGCAAGAATTTGAAGCTCTCCCGTGTTATTACGCTCTCGATTCAGTGCTCTCTTGCAAAATTTTTTGGGTTATCATACACTTTTCCAGTCAAAATTTGCAGGTTCCAGTACAAATTAGTACTGACTATTGGTTACTATACAAACCTATGATTGAATTTCTTTTCGTTAAAAACCAAAATAGAGTTATTTTGATAATTACCCAAACGATAAAAACTGAATCGCTTAAACAGAAATGATTGCTCTTTTTTGATAAACCCCCGTTTTTTGATAAACGACCGTATGAATAAAAACTAGGCAATTGCTCTTTCCTAAAATTGTTCATCTTTTGCTCGATTTTTCTTTGGTCAAACAATACGTTTCAAAGCACCCCCGTCGATGTCATTATTCAAATTAACTGAACAGAGTTTCGCAGAAATTTGTATCTAAATGATGTTCGATGCTCGATCCCCCAACTAATTTGACATGCATGTGGTCATAGCGTGGGCACCAGTATTCTCCAGAAATATATATACGCATACATACCAACAATTTCTTTTATTACTTTTAATTTTCTCCTTTTACCAATATAAAACACCATTATAGGCCAGTTTTTCAGTGCCAGTTTAAACTCAGATTAAGTAAACTGAGTGTAAATTGAACAGCTGGCTGCTATTTGATTGGCTGATCTTAGTTTAAACCAGCCAGATCGGGCGTTTAAAATTAGTTTAAACCACGGCCGTGTACTGAAAAACTGGCCCTATGTCTGCAAATTGGTTTTTTATTGTTTTTGTATCCATGAGTTAACTTTCTTTTATGTTGTTGGAGATTAAGAAAACTGGCGAGATCACAGCCAATTTCCTGCAGCGCCTTCTTAATGCGCCCAAATTAGTATTCGGCTACATTTTGCGCACAAATATAGTAGATGATATACAGACGCATTTTATCTGATGGCAGTTCCCATTTCCAAAACTGGTCATTCCGATTAAGTTCACAAATTTTNTAAGCCTCTACAATGATTTAAAGTGTTGTAGAAGTACCAAAAAACTATGCTGCTCCAGAAAAGTGTATTCTTTTTTTGCGTTGTCAGGTGGGCGCCTTGAAAATACAAATTGTCTTCGCATTTTCGTGTCCATATATGCTAGCGAATATGTTGTCAGTGTATCAGGCCAGAGAAAAATTATTAACAATATTTAAAAAGTGTATTAGTTAAATAAATGTGGCGAAATTTATTGATTTTGTAGCTAAAACTCCGTTGGACATCACACTTAACTGTTCTCATCATAATAAAACACCATCGAAATCGAAATAACAAAATCAACAAAACTTACAAAAAAACAAAACAAGTTACTCAAATTACAAAAACCAAGAACGCAATCGCGCACGTTTAAAAAATATCTTCAAATACCAAAAGGGACAGAGCTCGATAAGAGATCCGGAGCACCCTCCAAAAGCTGCTGCACAGGCGAGTGGGACTTAGCTAATCACCCCCAGATTGGCAGTAAGGTAAGTTTTTTTCAATTATGGAAAGCTATAAGTTGGGGGTAATGAGCTGATAGGGGTTACGAGGGTCTAGACCTGATACAGAAAGAGGGCAGTTTCCTTTTAAAAATTATTTTTTTTTACAAAAAAATAAGTTTTTGAAGTTTCATAAATTGTACAAAATTATGTGCAACTTTGCCACATTGAAATTCATTATACAAAACATCAGAGGATTTAATGTTGTGCGTGGGAAATGTTCGGTTATTTGTATAGTGATTATTTTCGCAAAGAATAAAAATTAAACTTGGGCTAGGCCAGCAACAGTATTTTTGCCCAAAACTCCTTTCCGCGGTGATGGTCTTCGGCCGCGCTAGAAAAATTAGCCTAATCAGACCAATCCCGGTAACGCCATCCACAGAATTTTTAAGCAAAATCCACCTCCAAATTTACAGAAAAGTGCATATTTACACTCGCAATCTTTTTTTTATTAAAGTGCAATCCTTGACTAAACGTATATGTTAAAGTTTTCTTGATTCGGGTCACGTGGTTGGACACGACA